GTCCGGGAGCGGGGCACTGCCGCCAACGGATGCCCCCTGGCCTTCCCCCCCTACTGCTGCCACCGCCATCCCTGCATGCCCAGATCCCTCACCTTGGGTGGGGGTGACCACCTTTCCGGGCGCCCCTCTGTCTAACCCCGGACATCCCCTGCCTCACGCTGTCGGGCATTGCGTTAGTGACGTCGGGACAGGGGGTGGGACTGCCCAGGTTTCACCAGCTGCCGCTGCTGTGTCTGCTTGGCCTTGCCACCCATCGCAACAAGCGCAACAAAGTGCACAATAGGGGGGCAGCGACAACATGTTTGTGTACCGTGGGGCGCGCGGCCAATGCATCAAATCTGATCGCTGCATTCTCATTGGTCCATGCATGAATTTGATGTTGATATGTACTGCGGAATGGCCTTGGGAACGGAGCCTAGGATGGCCTAGAACGGCCTTCGGAACAGCCTGGAACGGACTCTGGACTGGACTGGAACGGACTCTGGATAGGCCTTGGGCAGTACAGGAACAGACTCCTAGGTGGGTCGTACTGCCCTAGAACGGAATTGGAATGGCTGCACACTGTTCTAGATCCATCCCAGTTCATTCCAGCCTAGGGTCGGGGCCGTTCCTTGGCCATTCTTGGGCCTGCTGGCCCAAGGACGGGGACGGACTCTGGTCCATTCCTGTTCCCATCCCTGTCCCCATTCCTAGTCCATCCCCATTCTGGAACGGCCCACCTCTGACTGGAGGGATGTGTTATTTAATAAAAGAGATGACATCCTCCTTTCGACACAACATATTACCCTCAAGCACCTTGGAACTCAGAAACTATTTCCGGGGCGGATTGGGCCCTTCACCATCCTCAACCGGATAGGTTCTATCATATATCGACTAGAACTCCGAGAAAGCATAATTAAGATACATCCGGTTTTCCATGTATTGAAACTCAAGCTTTATAAGGCTAGTGGCAAAGTATAGCCACCACCAGTCCCTATCGAGATTGAAGGTAACTGGAGTATGAGGTCGAATGTATCCTTGATCAAAGGATTAAAAAGCATGGCCATAGACAGGACTCTGTAGAGTACCTTGTCAAATGGTTGGGTTACAGTCATGAGTATAAAAGCTGGGAATCAGCAAAAGCAGTTGCCAATGCACAGGAACTGGTTCAATCATTTGAGGATGGAAGAACTCCTATTGCGAATGTGCAAACTAGTCATAGTACGAGATGTACACATTGACGTGAACATGTCTATGCTTTTGTATATGACAGGCGATACTGCGGTGGGCATAGAAGAACACCGGTTATCAAGGATACCGGTCCCACTCGCAGTTTGGACATATGAATGCTATGTCCATCGTCATCATGAATGATGAAAGGATCCAACGCAATGGTCCACTTGTGACTACCGCTAGCCGTGGGCATGGTAGAGGTAGAAACCCAAGCTACACTCAGCATGGTCGTGGTCGTGGGTGGATGGCCAGTGGAGGTCATGCCAGGGGACGTGCAGGGTGATCCCTGTATGTCCTGAACATTTGTTGGACATGAGCAAGCCAAGAGGTCATAGAATAGAATTTGTATATTATAGGCAGTACTGATATTCCAGCCGGTAAGCTGAAGGAAGAGTTTTAATGAGGGTTATCTGCAGGAACGTTTTCCATGTAACAACCACTCTTTCTCTTCAATATTTGTTTTGTACATGACATGTGGTTCACTGGGCATATAACGAGATGCACAGCTAGTTTCCACGTATAGTAAGCTTGTGAGCCATGCATGCGTCTACTCCCATATCTACGCACTGGGATGGGGATGTCTCACCTCCTTGATGGGGACGAATATTATGCACACTGGCTTGATGTGGGGGACGCCCCACTAACGGTCTCTTGGTGTGGGGGACGCCCTGCCCAAGATATAGTAACAACACTCCAACCAGAATTTATTATTATATAGTATGGGAGTAGGTCGGGGTGGTCCCGCCTAGGTCCCCGTAACGACCTAGGTGCTCGGTGAGGCGGGTCCATGGCTCAAAGAGGGCAGGAGCCCCACACCCATAATCTTGTCGTATCACTATGTGTCTAATGATATAAAAGTCACATACTGAATCAAAAGGAAATGCTTCATAGTTGATATCTTTTGAGTGCCCTCGGAGAAAGAAGCAATTGTCTTTAGGTGATGAGTCCAATGAAAACCCACCAAACCTGCACCCAAGCTTATTGTATATATGCTTTCATGCGTGATACACATTGTGTATGGCGGGCTTGATATTTACATTAAAGTTTGGCCATTTGCATTTAAGTTTTATTTGCAAAAATGTAAATTTGCAAATTGGCAATTTTTACAAGTGTATCTATGTTTTTGCTGACACCATGTTGCATTATAAGCATCGAGTATAATGATAAGTCCTTCACTCCCTCGGGCATATGCAACATGGCATCCACATCACCCTTAGCAATGGCAACAATATCGTTGAACAAAAGCTCGTTTTTTGTCCAATTCAATGCGTCTGGCCAAACCATGGTTGCCACTCCCTGGACCCATTGAGTCTTCATGTACTGCATCTATATACATATAGTTATATTTACATTGTATTTGCATATTTTTACACCTGTTTATGCATGCAAACGTAAAACCATTTCTATGCATACTACAAAATATTCAACCCTTCCGCATCAGAAAATTTCAGCATTACACTTTTTGCTCCACATTTTGTTTTTTAAGGCCTTTTTTTACCATGCTCCGCAGAGAAAAGCAAGATTTGCATTATTGCTTATATTATTTTCTCCCAAAAAAGGTCATGCATTACGTTACTATGCCGAACGTTTTAATATTTTACAGTAAAAGTGTAAATACTGTACGATTTGGTTTTAGGGCATAAATAACAAGCCTGATGTGTGGAAACGGGCAGCGCCTGTCAAAGACCTCTGACACACATGTCATACATACTATACAAGCGTGCTTAGCTCGCAAGCTCGCTCTCGCCGACGATGAGCTCACCCAAGCACATCAAGCACACCTTAAAAGGAGGCCTTACACGATGCACTCTGCTCCAAATACGCAACACCGCATTAGTCACCACGTCATGGTGGTTCACGCTGCCATTCACTGCTCTCTTCTCCAGCGTGCATACATGTGATGTACACCACATGCGTCACAACTCCTAGTACACGCACAGAGTCGACGTTGCACGTGTGCATGGAGCTGTGACGCAGGCGGCAGAACAGCACTCCGAAGGGTGTCCCCAGGACGTCCTCTTACATGCGCTCCTCTTCGCTTCTACGAAGCTTCCCACATTAGCACGTGCCCTTTGTAACCAGCCACAGGCAAATGGCATAGATCATTCCGCCGTGACTCCTCGCGCGGCAGCCGCAGGCGGCTCCCTAATACTTCAAAGGGCTCCGCTCTTTCCGACTACGCAGTTCCTGGGGAATTTTCCCACAGGGAAGGGAGGGGGTGCAGCGACCCCGCCCAACCGATTATCGTTTAGCTAAAGTTTCTTTGATTACGTTACAAGGGCCAATACCAATTGATTATGAAGTATTGGGGCCTGTTGAGGCTTCTGTAGTTTGATTTCAAATGTTTGCGCCGAGTTTCTTTATGAAGCCTTCGTGTTCACAGGGAGTTCGTTCACGTTATTACCTTAACACGTTAGACCTCGAGAGATAACGATGGAGATAGAGGACAGCCCGCAGCTCCGCAAGCCAAAGGGTCGTCGACCGCGCACCAGAGCCCCTTCGCCCCTTCCCCGGGCCCCACCCTCCAAAGCCCATCGGCGGAGCCCAGCCAGCGGCCATGGCGCGCAGCCACAGCGGACTCGTGGCACTGCTGCTCCTCTCGCTCACCCTGGTGCGGAACCGCTACCCCACTCTTTCGACTCCGCGATCGCTGCTCTCCCGAGAGCTGCCGATCGCGGCCGCGATCTTCCCGGCGCTTGTGCGCGCACCTCAACTTTTCGAATTCCCGGCAGCCACGAATGCAATTGCAATTCGCGACCGCGCGGCGATGGCCGAATGCGGGCGACTGTCCAGAGGAAACGCCGCTGCGGCCGTCCTCGTTGAAGTCGATCCCTTCTCTGGGCTGCCGAATTTGCCGCAACACGCCGTCGGGCGCATCGTGATCTGAGTTCGTCTGAGCTGCCGCTTCCGTCAGCCCCCAGGAGTGAGGTGTCCTGTGTTCCTGCTTCAGCCGCCAGACCTCCGCAAGGTTGTTTTACATCCCCCGCCCGAAATGCATCGCGCACGAGAGCGCGTGGCGCCCACCCCAGGACCTCGCTGCCGTCCGTGGTGTGTCGCAACGCTTCGGACAAGGCGTCTCACCAGCATCCGTCCAGCTTGCTCCATGCCTGCTCTCAACCCTCACAGGATATTCCATCCGGCAATCTGGTCAGCTGATCGGGTTACGTATTCCACGTCAGCCGGCGCTGCGTCTCTCGGTCTCTCGGCCCAGCGTCTCCGATTCTGATCGGGCTAGCGCCCCGCCTGGAGGCCAGCGACGGGAATCTCACACGCGCCTGTCGGCCCTGTGCACTGCGTTGGCTGGCGCCCACTTGCCGAGCACCGCGCATTCGGCCGCCAGCCTCTGAAACACCCACCTCGCCTAACTTCGCTCCGTGCATTCCCCTGCAAGTCTTTTACGTCTCTCGTGTGGCAAGCTTTCCGTGTTGTCACCGCCCTTCGGCCGTCCCAGAACCGCCCTGGGTCGAGGATCTTCGGCCGGCTGTGGCGCGGCTGCCCAGCTTTTGCGCCAACTCGTGCTGATACGCATGCATGCGCGGCGTCGTCACGTGCATGCACCGCGTTCGCACATGCATGCACAGGTTCTCGGGCGACAAGGTGTGATAGCTTGCAAGCTATCTTTGTGCCCCCAAAATTGGGCCGCGGCAGCCACCTGCAGTCTGGGCTCGTGTTCGACCGTTCGTTGTGGCGCCGTATTCTAGTTGCGGTGGTTCGGCAGATGCGGCCGTTGCGCTGCCGTACTCCAGCCGTGGTGATTGGGCAGATGCCGCTAACGGAGGCCCCATTTGATGAGAGAAACCTTTGGTGCTGCGCAGGTGGCCAGCGCCCAGAATGTGACCGTCAAGACGTCGCCCGCGCCGCCGGCGAAAGACAAGTCCCCGCCGCCGCCCAAGGAGCCCGAGTGCGAGATCAAGTGCGTGAGCGATGGCTACTACGAGAAGGAGTGTGTCAAGCGGGAGCTTGAGTGCGCCCAGGAGTCTTGTGTCAAGTACAAGAGGGGCAAGTGCGCCAAGGAGGCGGAGAAGTGTGTTGAGGTGCGGCCACACTGGAAAGATGTGCCTTGTGCAGAATGGCGACAGCGGCGGTTGCGTGTTGGCACGGAAGGTGTCTGGCTGTTTGGGCATCAATCCGCTGATGTTGGAGGACTGGCCCATCGTCACTCTGAGCCCAGCTCAGTTCGCGGTGGAATTTCACAGCGCAATCTGGAAGTTGCAGGCAACCTGCCCTGGCGGTGGAACATGTGGGGTGGGATTAACTGCAAGGGCGCAATGGATCCCAGATCAAGCAATGCGGTCGTTCAGTTCGAAAAATTACATTCATGGACGATGACGCACACCGCATCTGTACAGTGCAAAGGGGTCAGTTCTGAAGATATGTGTGTATAATTGCAAATCGTGGTGTGGAATTCGATTGAACAAAGCACTTTATTGGCTCACTGGCTTGCTAACTGTCTGACTGCATCTTGTTCCCAGTTCAAGAAAGTGTGCGTCATGGAGCAATGCGTGGAGTTCAAGAGGGAGTGCATCAAGTACGACACGCTGTGCCTCGAATACTCCATCAACAACAGCACCTACGAAATGAATTGCATCAAGGAGGAGGCGGTGTGCCTCAAGTACACCACGCAGTGCGTCAAGCGCGACTGCTATAAATACGACCTCGTCTGCTCCAAGACTGATAAGGAGTGCGTGATGTTTGATTATGAATGTGAGAAGAAAGAGTGCCTCCACAACGAAGTGACGTGCAAGAAAACCGAGAGAGTGTGCAAGAGGACGGCAGAATTCTGCAAAGAGCCGAAGAAAGAGGAAAGCCGCGGCTAGAACCATCTGCCTCTGTAGATCAATGGATGCATTCTTGGCATGGGCACGATCGAGGCGGCCTAGCCAAAGATATGTACACTTGTATGCCGAACGGGTTTTGACATGGTTGATTGGATTTATGCGAAAGCTGGACCCAGGGCGGCGCAATCAGAATTTGAACGAGCCCTGAAAATGGGTACGAAATGACTTGTGTAGATTATTCGAGCTGCTGCCGTAGAGGAAAGGTTGTAACTAGTTGGTAATAGTTGGTTTCAGACGGAGCACAGGACATTAGTTGAAAATGAGCAGTGCACGCGGTGTTGGCAAAACAGCAAGTCACCGTGTGCGACGAGAAAAAGGGCGCAGTTAGCGCGGGATGTTCACGCTCATTGCCCCATTTTGTGTAAAGCAGTTTTTGCTTATGAGGACGCCTTGCGCCTGGCTACAAGCCATCAGACCAGCTTGTGGCCATGGTTAGCCCATGGCTCGCCCACATGCTACCCCTGGCCAGGGGCTCGGTCCTGGGAGCCAAAGGCTCTCATACGTCCACATCGGCGGTCGATATTGCTGGGGTAGGCAATGACAAACAATGAATTGAAAGCTGGATTATTGAAAGCATGAGTGAAGACATACCAACTAATTTGACACTGGAAATGGAAATGGATTTCCTGAAGCGATGGAAGCACCCACGCACTGTATTGAATTGATTGCGTGGCAATGGTATAATGGAACGCAATCACCATATGGAAATTCCATTGCGCCCATTTAATTGTCGTTGCTTTAAGCCCTCCACACTTTCTTATTAAAAGGCCAATACCACCATTGATGATACAGGAAATCATGCCAGCCTTCGCAGAATGCACCCATTGGGTGTTGGCAACTGCAAGTGTGTTCAAAGTTACTACATGTGTACGTGTGCTTTCATACAGCCCACAAAACACAATACCGCAATCCAAAGAACGAGCACGTACCGCCAACAGCTCCGAAGGGGTTCTCTATCAGCCGATGAAAAACTGATCATGTAAGGAAATTAGTGCAGCGTCGCTTGCATAGACCAGTTAGGGAAGTCACTATGCGATTTTTGCACCCTTTTTGCACGACACAAGCTAGGCTCTGCCCTTCTTCCCCCCAATCCCCCCAAACCCACCCCTGCCACAGAGACACACACGCCCCCATCCACACGACAAACACACACCCACCACGAACACCAACAGCACCAACGCCCTTCATAAATTCAGATTTTGATGCCACAGTGCCACTTTAGGTCTCTACGTATTATCGGTCGATACCACTTCGAAACTGCTAGATGCCACTGGTGCTGGACCTGGGTAGCTTCAGTATTTCTTTGCTCGCCACACTCAAGATTGTAGCTGGCCTCAGTCTCTGCTCGACCATTCACTGGAGCGCGATGCCAGCAAGCACCCAACAAGCCCCATTGCACCGGCGCGCTGCACGCCAGCAGGAATCGTGCCCGCAAAGTGAGTGGGTGCCACACACAATGCAGCCCAGATAGTAGAACGGGACCGGCCGGGGCTGGGCCCAGCTTTTCATGATTGCCAATGCTATGCATCTTCCCACAGGCATGTTGTCTGCATTTGCGTCTTTCTGGAAAAAACGAAATTTTGCGAAATGGGCCATTTTTGAGGCTGCATTTTCTTTTCTGCGGACAATGTCATCAGGCTCCACGATAAAAGTCGTGTACAATAAGCAGTCCTCCAGCCCAAGAGCATGCGCAACATGGCGTCCACCTCGCCCTTGGCAAGGGCAATGACGTCGTTGAACAAAAGCTCGTTTTCTGCCCACTCCAATGCGTCTGGCTGCCACCCCCTGTGTGTAGATGCTGTCTTCATGTACAAGGATTGCATTTTTATTGTATTTTTATGTATTTGTGCACTTGTTTATGCGCATATGCCTATACTTCTTATGCAAGAAGTAAAGCTATTTTTCTGTATGCATACTTGTACGTTTAAACATCCGCACGATCAGTTTGCATGGCACAAATGGCAAGCCTATCTTCCCATATGAGCTCTAACAATAGTCCATGTCAAGTCATGTCCTCACCTCGTGCTGCCACACAATATTCTCTCAATTGCAATCGAAGGACACAATTGTGCCCTCTCTCCATCTTTCCATCCTTTGATGGTCAACTCATGAGTGGGCAATGGTCTTTGACACTGATCGCCCCAAGATCACTGGTGATCGCAGCCAAGGATCTATCGCAGATGGTTATTGCATAATCCCTTAGCATTAACGTATCATCCTCCAGACTACTAATGCACTACAGATCTTGTTTGCCACCCAATTGCTAGGCCTGACATGGTGCAGTGGTAAACATAGAAGAGCAAGTGGGCATGTACTTGATCATTTTGTGTTCTTCCTGCTCGAATTTGATTTCGGTGTAATTGCATAAGTTCTCATTCCCCCACTTTTCCCCTGTATGTTTTCATCCATTGATTGCAAGAGAAATGTGCTTTGCTCTATATTTTATAAAGCGTATGAGCAAAGCCTATATACAAATTTTGTTAAGTGTATTTACATTACAATTGCAATTGTAGTTGACGCAAGTTAGCATGTTGTGATTTAGCTAACTATAAGGTCTCTTGTTGTAACTTTTGGATCATAATATATTGTTATTGGGAGCAAAGCTTTGGGAGGAATAGGGCTAGGTTTTATTTCTCTCCTTGATTCCTAAGGATATGGAGATATTGTCTTGGATACTAGCTTTTGTTGGATGTCTTGGAAGTGTCTTAGAGTTGTGGGGATTTCGGGTGTATTCATTGCTTTGTATGGTGTTAAAATGGGCCCACAATATGAAATCTCAATTTGGTTGTATTTAGCAAATGTGCCATCTAACTATATGAACTTGTTTCAATTGCCTTGCTCCCCACTCTGGCCATCTTAGGTGTGCCTTTTGGGCACCACCCCTCTAGGGTGGGTTGTGATGGTGCATAGCATAGTACTTCTTTTGTTCAGAAATAATAAAACAATTTGTTCAAGAGGCTATGTTTGCATCACAAACTTATTAGTTTTTTTCCTTCAAAATTGGATCAAGACACTATGTGTACATTTTTTATGTACTACTAAATTTTTGTGGACGATGAATAAGTACCGGCCATATGGCAATACTTTGAACCTGGTTGTGGTGTAAAGCACAGAGGGCATGGTGTTTCTTTGGTTATGGGTATCTGGAAGGTACAATAAACATTAATGAACAATCTCATTCTTTAGTTGAGCTTACTAGAAACCCATAGGTTCTTGAATCACTCCATTTGGGTTAGCGGTAGTGGAGATATAATTACTAGAAGTTATAGTACTTAAGGACGCCTCCACAACCGTATTGGGGGATGAGATACTATCGATACGGTGATATTGGCTGCATTGTCACGTGATGCGGGGCACGCCAAAGGGTGGCCCCAATGCCCGACGGTTGTAACTCTTGCTGACCACTTGCCTCCGCGCGGCTGCATCCGCAGGCCGCACCGGCGTCGTGCACTCACTGCGCGCACTGCCACCCCGCGCCCGGCAGATTGCAGGACCGGGCCCACACTGCGCACTCCGAGGAAGCGAGCGCCCCGGACCGCCCGCCGTCATTCGGAGGAGGAGGCCATTCCGGCCGGATTGGGCGTCGCGGCGGGCACATCGCCCGTGCATCGAGCCGAAAACCACGCTAGTGGTTTTGGAGCCAGCGGATGCGGAGGACGAAAGCGCGCCACACGGCGCATGAAAGCCAAGGGGACCCGGCCCAACGATGGGAGGGCCCCCCATTCGCGAGAGATCCAAGAAGAGAGGCTGGCCAGGTGGGCGTCTCGCGGCGCCGCCTGAATCGGCGAGGGGATCCGAACCGGACCGAGTGCCTGGCCCTAAGGAGGGGGGCACATTCTGCTGCTTCTCGTGCCTAGCCCGACGGCGGGGGGCGTTGGCTTGTGAATCCGCGCGCTGAGCCCCACGGCGGGAGGCGCATTCCACGGGAATTGATCGCCAGATCGGGGCACCAAAGGACGCCGCTTGCGCGGGGCATTTGGGCCCGGCGGCGGGGGTTGTGATCCGCGGACCCGCGCGGTGAATCGGCGGTGGTGGACGCAGGCCGGCGGGTGCCAGGCCTGTGGAGGGGCGCAGTGGACAGAGTGAACGGGTGGAGGCAACACCCGGGGTCGCAGGGGTCGACGCAGGTATGACTAGACTCCTCCGAGTGACGTGACGGGGGGAAGCTGTGGGAATCCGCCCGCGCCGTATACTGCCGGCAGGGGGGTCCCGAGTAGCGACCTCCGAGAGGGGGGCGGCGCTGAGTAGCGACCTGCTAGGCCCTGCAAGCGAATTGTGCCTCGTCTTGTGACTCTGCATCGTACTGGATCCTAGAGGATGGTGATTCCCCACTCCAGGGAGCCTCCAGGGAAGTTTTTGCCTGCATCAGCACTCTACAGGGGCAGTTGACAAGTCCATAGACCCTTTCAGTGGGTGGAGAGCGGTTCTCTACATCGAATTTGGAGTAGTTGAGGGTATATGAAACCTCTCAACGGGTGGAGAGTAGCTGCCAGCGACTTGACTGGAGTAGCTGGGGGGACTATTTGCCCCTCAGCAGGTGGAGAGCAGCTTCCTAGAGGACTCTACTGGAGTAGCTGAGGGGGTTGATTGCCTCTCAGCGGGTGGAGAGCAGTTCCCAACGACTGGAGCTGACAACCCCTATGTCCGCCCTACGACATATTGCGGAGTACGACAGCTCCCCAAGAGCCTCATTAGGGTGCCTGAACACCAGAGCCTAATTTACAGAGACCAGTAGGGTGCCAGTGCACCAGGCCCAGGGCCCTCCGAGCGGGCCAGTGATAGTTTGGGGGCCGTCCCACTTGATACGTAAAGGGTGTGGGTGTGGGGTTCCTACCCTCTTTGAGCCGCGGACCCGCCTCACCGGGCACCTAGGTCCTTACGGGGACCTAGGCGGGACCACCCCTCCTACTCCCGTATTCTAATACCTAGAATGGTTACCAAGGGTTGAGGATAGTTATCTTGGGCAGGGCGTCCCCCAC